TTTTCGACTAAGCCAACCGTAGGTTACACGAAGTTTTGGATTGTGGAGCGACTGACTCGCCGTAACGCCCGATTTCACTATTTATCCCAAAGATCATACATATAAAAATAAATATGAATAAAATAGACTCAGTTAAGGATTTCATTCTTAGATTTAAAGGCTGAATTCTAAAGGGAATGCATCGGTAGGTTTTATAAGAAAGAAATATTAGAATTATCGTGCTTTTCAAATTACTGTGATCAGCAAATTTCATGTATCACATCGGGAATCAGGAATTTAGAAAAAATATCAATATGTGATTGGCTAAAACATCAATCAAATAATTTTTAACCAATCATATTGTTGCGCAGAGCATAATCGTACCACGAAAATCAGTTTGCATGCATTTGCCCGAAAATTGACAGGGCGTAATAGCCAAATAAGAATTGCGACATGAAAAAAAATCGATGATAGAAGTCGGTGGGAAAACAAACAAAAAAAATTTTAAAAAAATAAATGAGAAATTATATTAGTAATGTGAATGGAACCAAAAATGGATAAATGGAAGTAGGAAGATAAGAAACTTACTCGATAATAACTTTAAACAAGCAAAAGAGGGCAAATAATAGAGGGAATCGATAATAACTTTAAACAATCAAAAGAGGGCAAATAATAGAAGGAACATGATGGGAAAATTAGTAAGAGAACCGACACGTTAGTAATAGAGAACATGATAAAAGCAACAACCGAAAATGTAAATAAAATTTATCTTTCGCATCCCCAATTACAAATTAGGAAGATCTATAGTTATCAAGCAGTGGTCATCAGTTGTTGAGTTGTAGAGTTGTAGTAATTAATTGAAGGGCTTGTTAAATTAAAACTCTAAGAGAAAAAAAAGATGAGATATATATATACTCGCCAAATCGTAACCCTCTAGTAGAGCCGCATCCCAATTTGCTGCTGACAATATACTGGCAATTGTTCCTGATTCCTGATTTCCGGTCATGAAATTTGCTAATCATAGTAATTTGAAAAACAAGACTGGAACGGGATTTCTATTATCAAATTAGTTAAATATTGCTCAAAATATAGGTAATATTGTACAGTAAATAACCTTTGTCAACAGTTTTCAATGAAACTTCTTTTTCGTAAACATAATATTCTTGCATCTGTTCTGTGTCACGTACGAACGTATATCACGTACATCATGTAGATCATAAAATAAAGTATTTCAGATGTTTGTACAATGTGTTATACAAATATATAATTTTTACAAGCTTTTGGAATTAAAATAAATATCATTGAGTGGATCTCTTGCATTATTAATCAAATGATTTAGAATAGATGTCCCCATACTGCAAGAAATCCTATTGAGTTTTCAAATTATTTAGTTAATATGTAATAATATATTTAATCAATTTTTTTTAGCTTATCTAATATCGATAAACTAGCATGATTGAATAGCATGTTATATTGCATAGTGGGTGGTATGTAAACTAATTAAATAAAAACAATAATACTAAACCACACCCGTGATATTCAATATATTTTTAATAAGTTTCCTAACAAAATCTAGGGTTAAAGGGTCTAAATAGTTAGGGTGAGAGTATGGGGAGCTATTTGAAATATAGCAACTGTAACTTTGTTGAACACTATTGGTGTGATTTAGTAAAACCGATAAAACCTTTTTTTTATGTGAAATACGTATAGAACAGAAACTGTATAATTCCATTAAATTCAATATTTTTTAAAAATGTCCACTTAAAAAGTCAAAATTCGAAATTCCTTGTCAAATTCCGATTCTCTTGTGTATCATTCATTAGTGTACTATAGAGATGGGCAAATCACGGTTTTGCCAAAAATCCCGCGCGTCACGCGGGATTCGCAGATGTTACCAAGATTACCGTAAGTTTCGGCTGGAATTATGGCATTGGACCGAATTATCCCGTGCATCACGTGATGAATCCCGCACTTGCCCATCGCTATATATCATATGATGGTCTGATCAAAGAACACTAAATTTATTTGGTTTTTTTTACTTAATTTTCTCAAACTTTAAGTGAATCAATTTTGGTAAAAACTGGTTGTTTTCAATAATAAAAACTATTTTCAAATTCTAAAGGCTTGTAGGATTCGCAAGGTGTGAACAGGCGCAGATCAATGATTTCCAGAATTTTCAAAATCGGTGCTAATCGGACATTCACCTTTACTAATCAGAACTTTCCAATTCTTCGATTTCCCACCTAAGTATATGACTTTTAAAAAATATTTAGTATTAGAATTTTATACATTTGGCTGGTATAATTTTTAGCCAATCACAGGTTTGCATTTTAATAACCTCCTGATTTCCAGATTTCCCGATGATCATTACATACTAGCATAATCATTTCATACGATTTTTTTTTTTTACATATCAGATATATCTGTTATTTAACAACGCAACCCAATACCTAGCCATATTAGAAAAAAAACTTTTTTATAAATTTATCTCACGAAAATTATATAAATTTGCAGAAATGATATTGTCGTCATCCTAAACGATAATATGTTTCATGAATTAAACTCAACGAATTAACTCGGTTCAGAAGTTAAATAACAATTTATAAGAAAATTACAACGGAGACTGTTAATGTTACACATATATTAAAACTGGTGAGGGAATTCAACATAAATAATTTAATTTATGTTTGATTACAGGCGAGAGGGATTCACTTTGGATCGGGCACTGTCTCTGCTGTATAAGAAAATATAGTTCATATTTATTATTTATTTATTGATATACGTATGGATGATATAATGATTTTTTGATTCACAAATTAAAAAATTACATTGTTATGATGGATACATTATTTGTCCCAAGTTCGATCCTCTATATATAAGCAGGATTTAGAACATGATCGTTTAATACAAATAAAAATTTTATTTTTTTCAATGTGGTTAAAATCCAAGCTAGAAGGTCATGTAAGTATATAAAACATGTTAGTTATGAATTTATTTTATTTTCTTTGATGAAGATATAATTTCATCATATGTTCTAATACTGTATATTAGTCACAATGCATAATTGCAATTGGAAAAACTGGCAATGGAAAAAGCTTTACAGGAGCTATTTTCGGTGCACAAAGTATAAAAGTCGGAAACTCTGCACAATCAGTAACAACCGAAGTTACAGTATATGATATTGGAGATGATAATGTTTATGTCGATACCCCAGGATTTGATGATTCTAATGAAAGTAACGATGATGAAATTGCGCGTTTGATTTTTCGTGCTCTTTTAAATAAAGAAATCCATAAAATAACAACAATTTTATGGTTTGTATCAACCGATATCAGAGCAACAGCATCGTTTAAAAGAGAAGCAAACTTCATAGAATTGTTAGCAAGAGATCATGATGGGAATGTTTGGGATAATACTATCATCGTTACTAAGGGTGCTCAAATTGGAAATGGTCCCCGAGAAGCAGCCAAAGAGGTAGCAAAGAATACATACGATTTGAAAAAAGAAAACTGCAAGTCAGCTAATAAAGATGATTTGCTTGTAAATACTAGTGATTTTGCAATTCAATTGTTTGAAAGGTTGCCGGCTAAAAGTGTTTATGCTGATTTTCCGTTTACCAGCGATCAATTAAACGAATATAATATTTTTAAAGAATCAGAACCTGGTCGAATACTTTCAAAATATAATACATTAATTAAAGAGCATCCAGAACATCCGATAAAAGTAAATTTCAGGAAAGTTAAATGTTTGAATTGTCCCGAAGAAACTGACCCAAGAATAGCAGTTCCAGAGTGCCATTTAGATACAGAGTCATTTCATCCAGAGAAAATTAATAGTCATATATATAAAATCATAAGTGTACACCCGAATACACTTGATGAATATCATCCTGGTAAGTTAACACCTTACCATCCTGACTCACGCGATTTTATACACACGGGCAATCCCGTTGATAGTCAAATAAATTGGAATCCTATCGAATGTCTCATTCGTGCCGTTACATTTGGGGCTGTTAACCCTATGATTTCAGGATACTGGGATTGCTGTGGAAAACAATTGAATTCATTTGGGTGTAAGAATGTTTATTCTTGTTGCAAGAAGAATAATAATGGTTGTCAAAATAAATATGAATGTTGTGGCAAAGATTCTTACAGTAGAGGATGTGAAAAACAGTACCGCTGCTGCAATGGATCTTGCGAAAGTGAGGGATGTCAATACATATATGACGTGTGCAAGCATAAAGCTGGTGAAAAGCCTTGTTGTAAAATTTGCAATAACTGTGGTCAAACGTTAGACAAAGATGGTTGTAAAAACGGATGCAAAAATTGCAAAGGAACACGGATTGAAAAAGGATGCATTAAAGCGAAGCATAAATTTTGTTCTTAAGTGTAGATTTTTCAATATTGTATTTTTTTTTTTGTGCTAACACTCCAAATTTTGAAGTATTTCTTCTATTCAGCGTAACAAATGTGTGGATGGTTTAGTTTAAAAAGATGATGCTACAACTAATTTTTTTTTTAATTCGTCTTGATTTTTGCAGTAATAAATATTTTATTGTTATTTAAAATATGGAATTGTATCTTTAAAATAAACAATTCCATTTAACATTTTAAAATTGTGAATATTTAGAAACATGTGATATATAATTAACTAAGTATTCATAGTAGACATTAAGATAGTATTATAGCTCGTAAAGGAAATTCGCTAACAATTAAAGAAATTTTATCTATGACCTATACAAATCTATATTAAATATTAGAATTCACACTAACTCTAACTATTAAAAGGAGATCACTCATAAAAAAATAAGTGCTAAGTTTTGCTAACCATACATATTTTTGTAAATTTTGAGGGAAATTACATGTAAAGTGAAAATAATTTCAATAAGGACCTAAGCTGAAGATAATTGACAAATTTTGAGAAAAAATTACAATATAGGGCAAAAAAACTTTACGTTATGATAATAATAGTTCTTTGAACATTATCACTGCATATTGACACGGGCGAAACGGCGAGTCAGTCGCTTGTCGATGGGATATGTCGTGTAACCTACGAACGGCTTAGT